CCCATTTCAATCGTTTTCACAATCTTAAACATTTTAACGCACCACAACTAAGAACGAGAATAAAAATGCTGGATTAAATCTAACCTTTAAGCTCGTAAAAGTAAATATATTGGTAAGTCTATAGATTATAGTTCTCGGAAGAGCAAAATGACTTTATTGTGGTGTTATTGCGAATAACTATAAACCATTTTTACAATAACTATTAGCTCTAGTACAGAGAAAAATGACTTTATTGTTGTGTAATTGTTAACACTTATAAGACCATTTGGCATTTACAAGAACTATTAGCACTAGTTTAGAGCAATTTCTGCTGTCTAATAGTTTCAAGAGAGCAAAATAGATTTATAGTGATATTATTAAGGACAACTATAAATCCTTTTGCTATTTTTGACGACTATTAGACAAACTTGCTCATCTCAAGTAATAAGATTTTTATTATGTAGGCAATTCATTATGTCAGCATTTTCTAGTTAAACCTTTATACGAGGTCTTGGTAAAAAGTACCATAATTGCAAATGAAAAAATTTACTAGAAATGAGCCCACAAAGTGAAATATTCAGATATCTATTATTATATAAATTAGGAGCGTTATCCAGTACGGATTTCCGGATTTCAAATCTGCTAAATAATACGCGACGCAGTACCTCTCAGACCAATTTGGCAACGTCGCGCGCTCAATATCTGTATGATGTTTTTTTGAGAGATATTCAAGTCGGATTCGGGAGTGCGTTTTAGTTTTTAGTAGAGCAAAATTTAGTATAAAAGTCGCTTATTGCTCGAGATGATATTAATTGGCGCAGAACCAAATCAGATCCTATAGGTATTATGTAAATAAGTAGTATATAAAACGGCCACTTAGAAATTTTTCAGTACCTATGTAGGTGAGACATTTTTTATGACAAGAAAAAACAAAAATCAGCAATTATTAAATATTACTATTATTTCCATCACCGTAGATTGTAAACTAATCGAGCTATCGACTTGATTTTTATGATAAAGTAGAAATATGAGCGCAAGTTTCAAAAAATATTATAAAATAATAGTATGCACCAAAAAAATAAAATATATAGATTTATTTTAAAAATAATATTAAAATATTATGATTTAATTGCAAACAAAATCAATAATTGTAAATTACTTATATGTAGGCAACCGGAGGTATGTACGAGATTGTCGACAAAAAGGATATTTAGTTAACATATTTTTTTTTTAACAGAACTTTACTTGCTCACATTTTTAACGTTCCATACTACTCATTATTGAACATCATTTCAAGGAGGATTTCGTATTTCTAACTCCGTTATAAACGAAAGTCGATTATTTCTGGGAGAACACAATAATTTATATAAAAACACTGGAGTTTTCTTAGAAAATTATTAGAAGAAAGAAATTATTGTCTCGTTCAATTTTTTCCCCTAAAAAAGAGGGGTCCACATCACGAAAAAACAACATTGTATTTTTGTTATGTGAAGCTGGCTCTGGACCTGGTAGAAATAGTTGTGGTTTTGATTCAAATGTATATTATTATTGTCGTCAATTATTACATATTTTATAATTTTTTGCCTTATTGCATCTTGCGATGTTAACTTTGAAGCAGAAGCAGGGCATTTAATTTCAATTATACAATCAATTCCTACCAGGCCATTAGGACTAGCCCCCAAAATAACATAAATCCAGATCGACAAACAAAACCACAATTTTCGAGATGCATAATAAATTTTTCTGAAAATTGACTTATTGCTATTTGTTCTTTTTCTAAGCCATATTTTGTATGTTCATTTGCCATGTGCGTGGAGTAAACCAAATGTTTTATAAAATTTGTTTTTAGTTGCATTTTACAATCAGTACCAAAATTAGAAACAGTTATGTGTACACTTCTAGCTTGTTTCAATTTAGGGTTTTCTCCTTGCCATCTAGTCTCTTTTTCAATCAATTCTATTTCAAGAGAGTTTTATGTAATTATTTTAAAAATATTTCTTTTTTATTTTAATACTCCTTATCATTTAAATCGGGTATTATATTCTCATGGTTAAGAAGACCGTAATCTCTATCTGGTAGGACATTTTTTTACCTTCAGTCAGTTATACGAGTTTTGTCGTGATAACTCTGAATAAAATCAAAACTGTCATTTAACAATAAAGAAAAATGCTATCAAGCGACATGCGTGATTTTTTTTTTTTTTTATAACATAATTTAGCATTTTTTACTATCACATGTCGTGATAGCTGCACAACTGATCATTATACAGTGCAACCTCGATAATCCGAACCCACGCTAATCCGAATTACGCGAATCCGATAACAAAAAAAGATGATTTCAAGGCAAGCTCGGGATAGCTTGATAAATTCAAGGCAAGATTTAACATTCGCCAGTTAACAGTTTGTGGAGAATCACTTTCAAGCGACTACGATGCAGTCTTGCCATTTGTGGAAAGCTTTGCTCGTATAATGAAAGTGGGCTTTTTTGGAGAGTTCTTCCAAACAAAACGTTAGCTCATTCAGGAGAAAAATCAGTTCCGGGACGAAAAGTGAGCAAAGAACGAGTAACTTTTGCAATGCCTCTGGATCCCACAAACTAAAATTGTTGCTTTCAGAAATATTCACATTCCCGTTTCGTACAAAGGTCAGCGAAGGGTTTGGGTAACGAGAGAAATATTCACTGAGTGGTTCCACAGTGAGTTTGTTCCATCATTAAGGCGTAAAATGAAAGAGCTCAACCTCAGTCCGGAGGCAGTTTTAATCTTAGATAATACACCTGGACACCCTACTCAATTGTTTAGCGACGATAACAAGATATCTATGATTTTCCTTCCCCCAAATTGTACGCCATTGATCCAACCAATGGATCAGCATGTTATACAGGCCATAAAATTATTTTATCGTAAGAAATTACTTCAAAAAATTGTTGCGTCTGATTGTGATATTTCGCAAGCCCTGAAGGATGTAACTCTGAAGGACGTTGTTTTCTCTTTGAACGAGGCCTGGCAAAATGTGGGCACTGGCTTGATAACAAAATCTTGGAGTAAAATACTGCTGCCAACAGTGCCAACTGAGATACCAGAAGAAAATGTTGGTGACAGTGATGAAGAAGAGGACATCCCGCTAGCTCGGTTAGTCAGACAAATTAGAGAGACGGAACCCACAGAGATTCAAAATGAACTGGAAGAGGTTAGGGAGCTGAGTAAGAAACTTGACCAGAGCTTAACAAATGAAGAGATCACAAATTGGGTAGTGAATGATAAAGCAATCAGCGACGAATTAACTGAAGCTGATATAATTCAAAATATTGATGTATATTCCGATTCTGATGACGATATTTCCGAAATTCCGTGTTTAGTGAAAGATGATGATGCAGTGTCAGCTTTTTTTCAATTTTTAGTATTTCCAGGTTTACAAAAAAAATAGGCTTTGTAGAAACAAAAATAGTTGACAGAACATTATATTTTTTGAATAAAAATATGGCTACAGTCTCGTTATTTTTACATTTTGCTTTGTTGATATAGTAAAAATGCTTTTTTCTATATATCAAAATTTGGACTCTGTAGCCCCATTATATACGACTCCATAAATATGCACGCCAAATTTCATAAAAAAATATTAAAAAAATAGGCCTGGAATCTTGGAATTACTTTTAAGTTAATTTTAGCACATGGATAATGCTCTTAATTGTATTAATTTATATTAATTTGATAATGTTATTAATATTAATTATTAACAGATAATATAAAAATAATATTTGTCGAACAGCAAATTTTGATTGTAATAGAAACTATTAGTTCTTTAAAGTCTGGTAATTATATTAAATTTTATGTTAAATAGTACAGGATTAGGTATACCACATTTGAAAGTACCCTCGTAGACAATTGGCAATAAATTCTTGTAAATTATGGAAAAGTTAGGCAAATTGCTTTGTAGTTGCTGTTTTTAAAGCATAAATGTTTTATAAATGCTTTTTGTGCAACTAAAACCTTCGCCATATTTGAAATGTAAAAAACATGAAGGTGAAAAATTAAAAAGAAAATGTTTGGTGAAATAATGTGATAATGGTCTGTAAACACCAGATACTAAATTATTGCTTATTAGTAAGAATAATTTAATCTAATGTTTCTTTTATTAATACATTTTTACTTTCTTACATAAAAATTTATTTTTATTTTTATCGTTCAATTGAATGTTTAGGGTGGGGGCGTAACAAAATCGCCATAAAATAGTATAGACTTTCACATTAAAGTGAACCTCGTTGTAAAATTTGCATCTCTGTTAAAGATAAGGTAATATATTTTCCTACTTTTTTGTCATTTCTCATAACTAAAGTATATTGAAAGACGCCATATCAACTGAAACCTTTATAAATTTAGACACTGCAGTAATCTAAAGAGTTCACAACAATTTTGTTTTTGGAGAATATATAAATAAAACTTTTTTTCTTTGTAAAACCTGTTTCACGCCATACCAATAAAAATTAAAAATTTATTAAAGGAGGATAAAATAAGTTTTACTGCTTTTTAAAGGTTTCGAATAAAGGTTTCTTATAAATGTAGCGTCAAAGTGTTTACAGTTCCAAATTGGTTGCAAATACAGTAACTATAAATGTGTCTTTAAAATACTATTTGCGATCGCTTTATTAAACCCTTGTAAGTATCTACAAATAAGATTTATTATATTTTGCGGCACATTAATAAAGCATTTATACTTTTTTTTGAATTATAATTTGGTGCCCAATTTAAGCTCATAAGAATTGTATAAAGCCTGTAAGAATATCTACAAGTAAAATTTTAAATCTTATTCTCTTAAAAACATTTGCTTTAAGAATATTCTTACAGCTTTTATAAACCTGTCATGTACTATTTGGGAAGAATTTTTTTTAACCATTTTTTATTATAGAAATTGCAAAAAAGATAAACCGGACCCAGATTTTAGATTTTGTTTTGGTATTTGAATAGTCCTAAAGAGATTCCATAATATTATACCTAATATACAATGGTGAAAATGATATATTACCTGTAATTCTGGAGGTCCACCCTCATCTCTAATTAATAAAAGGTAACTCTGATTGTCGACGACGATTTCTTTCTTGAAGCGACCACCTTCCGGCGATTCTTCTTGCATGTACGATCCTGTAAGGTAACGATGAACCAGGGCCGACTTGCCCGAAGACAGAGAGCCCACGATGCCTAATCGCAAATCGGGCACCGTACGCGATAGAGTCCATTCTTGGGAATTCACGAACGAATCTGCAATAAAAAAAAGAATATTTTGAAAAAAAAAATGCAAATTACGTTCATAAAAGTAACGCTAACTTTTAAAAAACCCTGTATATAAATTCATGTATCTGTATCAGTACACGAAACTTTTTCCACCTTAGCATTCCTCCCATATACTTTTTTACTAGTTATTAGTATACCTGTACGATTTATGCGGATATTACCCTTAACGCTCACCCTTTATACTTAAAATACTTTTATCGTAGTCTTTATATCACACTATGAACCATGAACCTATTTAATTATGTAGGTCAAAATTTCATTTAATATTACCTATTTAGGTTAAATGAACTTAAACCGTGACTCCGGGTAATCAGACCCCAAAACACAGGCCTTTTATTGCCCATAATAATTCTGTGTAATTGAAACTGTTCATTCACGTCAGGTGGTTGATAAGTTACTTCCGTAACGTATACGTTATCATATGTAGGGGATTTGCGCCGTAATTGTTTAGATCCCTGTTGGTATTTCGAAATGATATTTTTGTGATATTTCCTTCGTTGGTTTGGCTTCCGAAGTATTTGATGCGATTGGCGTTTTAGGTTTCTTGGATTATTATATTTTCGAGTATTTGCAATTATTTTATACGAGAGCAAACCTTGAATATTATATAAATATTTAAAACATTTACAATTTGATTTTGAAAACATATTTATTAATTCTAAAATAAAATTAAACAATTTATTTACCCTTTTAAAATAATTGTATCTATAATTACATGGTGTTTCAAAAAAAGGTGGCCCCGTTGCAAGAATATGTTGAACACTGATAAAATAAATTGAGTTAGTTCAGTAAAACAATTTCAAGATACAGAATATTGAAAAAAATAAATGTATATACATTTTTTACGATTAAATCGAAACTACTGGCAACATTGTAACGAAATTTTGTACGAATATGTTTTGGAAGCTGACACAGGGCATACATTTGTTTTTATATCTGCCTCTAATAGAGGGCGCTAGTTACACGGTTCGTACCGAGTAGTTTTAAACGTAACTTTTTTTAAGGTTATATTTTCTAGTCCAAATTTTATGTGAACTCAAACGATAATCAATTTTACACCAAAAGGTACTCTTGGTAAAATTGGATACTGGGTACCGTTTTCGGAATATTTTATTAAAAACCAAAAACAATCACATTATTCTAATGTTATTGTTATTAATTAATTAATGAATCACAAAATGAAATACTAAATTAAATACAATTTAAAATAAATGCCTTTATAAGAGAGAAATCAAAAATGCACTCAAGAATAAAGTTCCCTTATTTACACTTTGCTAATTGGATACACTCATATAAGGTCCCAAAATACTCATTTAAAACGTGTATGAAAAGATTTGTAAAAAAATTGGTTAAGGATGTAATTTTTTTAATGTATGCTGAGTTTTTTCTGTAAATAAAGTGAATTCGTCAAAATGGGAGTTACATAATAACCCTCGTGAATACTGTGAAAAATGACCAAATTTAGCAAATTCAGATTAGGTGATTATTTACGTTTTACATTATAAACTAATTGTAGTCATAAATTAATCACCAATCCTAAATGGCTGTAATTACATATTTAAATATAACTTTTAATTCAAAATAACTTTATAACATTCTTCTGTATTGTAAAAAATAAATGTACTTTAATCTTGAGAAAAATTCATATTTTTTGACAAACATCGTATGCTGCTTTAAAAAATTGATATCTGATGGTTGCATTTTAAGTTTTGGACCATGCATAACTTTTTATCTAGAATAAATTTTTTCACAAAGGCAATGATAAAAAAGTTTTCCATATGGTTCCAACTTAAGTAGACACACTATGACAAATAATTACAAACAAAAAACGTCGAAAATATTTGGGGAAATAAAGAAAAGTAATTTAAACGTATTTGTTGGATACATCAATACTTTTATAGCACAAATTCATAACCGAAACCAAAAATGTATTATTTCAACCATTATATGGAAATTGCAGTAAATTTACCTATTTTCCTATTTATAATAGATTATGAGGGGTCAGTGCCATTAACAGATTCTTGTGATAATTATTTATCCCAGTAGACACCTGCGACTCTAATTAGACAGCTAAATATTTCATTCCACATAAACAAGAAAAACCTTGTTAAAACAATTGGTAGATTGCCTGTCGATATATATCTACAAATACGCGGCGTTGAAAAATCTTTTCCACCAGATCCGCTTAATTGAGAACATAAAATAAAAATATGATTGCGTATATTATTTTGCTGAACGACTTTTGCGTATAATGGACAAAATATGGAGGTTAAAGAGTGTAGCTACATCTACGTAAGAAAGGATTAACTAAAATTCAAATTTAAATCATGTTATCGAGAACCGGAAGTGCTGTGGCATCCTTAAGGTGCTTAGGATGATAGCATGGGGGGTCCGAATGGTGTAAAAAAAACTTTCTCTAACTGATTGAATATTTCATGTTTTTAGTCAGATTTATTTTAATTTTCTTTTCGCGATTCTTTGTAGAATAATTGTTTTTTTTAAAAATACATACTTTATACCAGCATCAGTTATTACTTCATCATTTTCAAATTAAAATATTCCGAAAACAGTACACAGTATCGAGTTTTACCAAGAGTACCTTTATGGTGTAAAATTCAATGATGTTTGAGTTCACATAAAATTTAACCTCAAAAAAATTATGTTTCAAACTACTCGGTAAGAACCGTGTAACTATCGCCCTCTATGAGAAACAGATATAAAAACAAATGAATGCCCAAAACATATTCGTATAAAATTTTATTACATTGTTGCCAGTAGTTTTGACATAACAGTAAAAAATGTGTATACTTTTTTTTTCAATACCCTGTATCTTGAAAACGGATGTTGTTACGAATTTTTTTTACTTAGCGAACCCAATTTATTTTGCAGTATTCTACCTATCCAAGCAACCGGGCCACCTTTTTTTTGAAACACCCTGTATATGAACATGGTGTTGATAAAAAAAACTTCTTTGAAATGCCAGTTGAAAATTTCGTCACGTGCTAAAAATAAACTCCAATTCTTACACTTCTCACTTTATTTAATTCTCTATGAGTAATAAAATAATTGAATAGATGTCTCAAACTTATTCCAAACTGGTATTTCATCACGAATTATTTTTGGATGAAAATGTGCATCTAAATAAACCGAAATCTTTTAACAAACCATTAACTTATCTTTAATGTATCTGGTTAAGTTAGATTTGTGGTAAAAACGAAAAAATATAAATTCACAGATAACTTTTGGTTTTGTTTCGGAAGATTAAAAATTCCATGAATTTATTGAGGAAATTACAAACTGATTAAGAATGGGTTTTTCTGAAAACTATACGTTTTCTTTTTTTTCAGTAGATAGCTTTGTTGTTAATTAAGGTTTTTGATATTTGTTTTAATCAAAATGAAACTGATATACTGATGTGTATTTAAGTTGAAGCCATATGGAAAACTTTTTTATTATTCTCAAAATCTTTCTGAACTAGAAAAATATATTATTTTAAGATAGATGGTGATCGTATAAAATATGTAAATGTAGTTTTTAATTCCAAACAACTTTTCTTAATATTTTTCGACATTATCCAAAATAAAAAGTTTTTATTTCTGATGATTTCATTATGGATTTTAGACCATGTAGAACTTTTTATAAAAAGTAACTTTTTTTCGTAAAACTAATAATTAAAACATTTTCTATAGGTCGTCAAATTAAGCAGACACGCTGTAAAAGTTATCGTCTTGTATAGTTTTGATGGAAAAGCTATAAATCGCTTTTAATGACAGTATTTCCAATCGAAGAGTTACTTGGAGTAAAAGTTTTAACTTTCACTTGACCACTTTACCTTTTAGATACGAAACGTTTAGATAGATGCATAATTTTAATATAAGAAAGTTACATCTCGGTTTGAAAAAAAAAAAAAAAACAGACAGAATGTAGTTAGTTACTATACTCGAAAAAATGTGCAGGTTTTGTTCCATTCTCAAGTTGCACAGAAAAATCAAAAATACAATTTTTGTTTTATTTTTGCATAGGAACTTTATTTATCAAAATATACAGGATGGTCCTTAATTGTACATAAAAGTTTTTAATGTTTTTTACAGAAGTGCGATGATATGATAACTATTAAAGAATAGCGGGAGTTTATGTCAAAAAAGTAAGTGTTCGATATGCCCACCATATTATTTTCAATGTATTTATCCGTACGTTACATTCCATAGGCGTACTTTGCAAAATAACTTTCTAAAATATAAATAATGTCACGGCATATAAAATGGTATATAAGCACTTCGTAAATTTTGAATGAAAAAAGTTATATTATTTACAAAAAATAAAAGTAAACATTATGCTTTTGACAAAATTGTTGCACTTTAACATTGAACGAATTAAATTTAAACAATAAATAACAAGGAAGATTATACGTTGTTAATGGGATTAAACTTTTTTTTAATCTCTTGGCATTAAAAGTAACGCTTCAGTATCTAAAATCAAAGATTAAAATAAATAAAAAGTTCAAGAACTATCTTTAAAAGTCATTGTCTTCACTATAATTACTTGTATCATTATCATTTTCTTTTCTGAGGTTTATTTTTATAGGGTGCCTATTAAGTTTTTCATTGTTATATCCACTTTCAAAATAAATTTTCCACCTTTTTAACATGATCAATGCATTTTCTCCAATGTTTATCATTTACATCTGAAACTGCCTTCAAAATCAAATTTCGCACATCAGGTAAATTAAATGTTGTATCTAAATAAAATACCAGTTTATATTGATTCCTTGCGTCCGCTATTTTCCTTAAATAATCATGTCTCCACGCAATGATTTCGTCTTTCTCTGTTAAAAAGCTGTTTCTGTCACGTTTTTTTTTGTAACGAAAATTTAATTCATGTAATATTTTTTGCAGATGAAAATATCATATATTTGGAAAATAGGGCTATTTTTTATGTGTAGGAATTTCATTTTGAAAGAAAAAATA